ACAAGAAAACGAAAGGATCCTCCAGCATCCCTCCATTTCTTATTATTTTAATGTTCTAGCATAACTGGCAATAATTGATGAATAACAAAATAATTCCTACGATGACAAAATGAAAACTCTTTCAAGGAAATAAGAAAAATGAGATGACTAAAACCCCATGAAAAATCTTAGATTTATAAGTGGTTCCGATGGGCCCATGTGGCAAATTCCAGACAGGATGAGTTTCATTCTGTTTTTGTTAAAGAATAAACGTTTCTTTGATCTTTGGGAGATTTCTTTTTAAAAGGACAGAAGTCATGAAATCTCAGCCTTTACAAATAATGAGAACTTCTCAGAACGAAGAAAACACTAAGATTGGGGTCGGAAAACAAAACTAAGATGGGAGTCCACGAAGATTTGGTCAGACAGGCCCCTAGATTTGGTGATTTCGTGGAAGATTTTCAAAATCAGAAAAACCGCCCCACAAGGTGGCTCTTCCTTCATCCACTTGAAATCCAACAGTTCTCCGATCAAACTTCACCTGTCACAGAGAGCTGCACCGCATTCCAACACCACGTGGCCCACCCCTGGGCTCCCTACCCTAACCACCACCCCCCTCCCTCAGCCTTTTTTCAGGCGCCCCGCCCGCCCGGGGCCTCTCCCTGCAGGAGTTCCACTCCACTCACGGTGAGGAGACCAGACTTAGGACCCGGGAGCACGGGAGGCCTCTGGAGTGCTGTGCGGCCTCGGAGCGAGGCACGGACAAAACTCAGACCACAGCCAGACGCCCCGTGTCTGCAGCTGTTTCACTCTCCCCAGCAAATGGAAGCGTTGCGGAGCAGACGGAGCTCCCTTCTCCTGGGGTTTTTACAAATCTTTCTCACCTTTCGTGTTTTCAATCCGTCCAGGGAGACGGTTTGACTATTCATCGCTGACGCAGAGGAAGGGGTCAGTTCACAGAGGTGGTGGTTCCCAAACGCTGGGAGTCGGCCCTCTGGGGAAACTCGGAATATAGCTCCCTCCGATGAGCAGCATGGTAAGTGAGGGCGAGCCTTCCCCAGCAGCCCAGCCCGACAGCGGCCTTCCCCGCTCAGAGTGTTGCTGATGCCCTGGACTCTGGTAGGAAGCGATGCTGTCTCGGCGCTGACCAATGTGCCCGCACACTGAACACACTCCCTTCCTCCTGAATTCCATCTCATGAACCCGCAGGTTTAGTGAAAGAAGACAGAGGAGGAAGGAGGGGACCTCTTAGGGTGCGACCCCGGCTTTCAAGAAGCCTGGAGCCTATCACAGCAGTGGGCTCTTCTGTCTTTTCCAATTTCACGGGGACGCCTTTCCTCATTCCCTCCACACCAGCGTGATGCAAAGGAGCCGTGAGGAGGGTAGATTGGGGGCTCACCTGGGAAGGTAGCAAAGAATGGGGAGAAAAAGCAAAAAAGGTGGACAGGGATTTCCCTGACGGGCGATTACATCGCGTGGTTGTGAGAAGTCTGCCTAAATCGGCATGGACTGATTCGCTAAGACAATCGAGGAGAAGGCAGGAGACCCAATACTAGTGCCCCAGGCCCTGGAGTCAGGGAGAGAGGAGAGTCCACTGTTTGGTCAGACAGTTCCCTCGCTGACCATGAGGTGGTGCCATCAGCCCAGACAGTCACCCCAAGGGGGCAGGGCCTGCAGTAGGAGGCACGCTCCACGTGGAAGCCACGTTACCCACCCAGGCTCTAGAACTCACAGAAAACCTGGACTAGGAAGCACAGATCAACCTACACATCATTGCCTCCCTCCCACAACTGTCGCATCCTCCATGGCCCCACCTGCTCACGCCTGAGCAAGAGCACCTTCTGTGCCGTCGAGCATCCCAACCCACATGGAGTCCAGATGAAGACCTCATTCCTCTCCTCCGTACCCTTCCGACGTCAGCCCGTTTCCTGATTCCAGAAGGGAACCTGAGCTAAGAGCACCCTGCTGTCTCCTTAAATGCCGTCATGATGAGGACAAGGTCTTGCATGGTGAGCACAGGTCTGTCCCAAAGGCCCTGAGAGCAGGGCCCCGGACGCCCTTGCCTGCCTTGCCTTCCAGTTTAACACCAAACTCAACAACCCTATTCCAGACACAAGCCCCCCATCTCCCCTCCAGCATTGATCCCTGCTGGTCCTCCCTCCTGGGATGCCCTCTCTCTTTCCCTACCCCTCCTTGTCAGTATCCTCTTGCCTTCCCAAGTCCTGCCCAAGTCCCCTCTACTCCTGAAGTGTCTAACTGATTTTAACTGGTGAATCGGAGTTAGGGAGCAACGCGTGGGTCCCACGCATCAGCCACAGAAGCCCTGGGGTGTCAGGAGGCTGGTTGGGTCTTACACTGAGGAGGGCTGATCCCGGCAGACTCCCTGCTGAATCTCAGGGCAACACCAGCTGGTCTGGCCCGGCTCCTCCCAAGTCCCGATTCCCATCGAGGGCGGACACCAGAGCCGGAAGCGCCGTGTGTGGCACAGTGTCTGTTCTCAATTCGCGTTTGCTTTAGAATAACTACAGTGTTACTGTTATTCCTGTCCCCTCTCCACTCCCGCTCTCATCAGCCACTCTCTGCCAACCCTGGCCTGAGTTATAGAGCTGAAAGAATGGGGAGGGGAGATCATGACCAGTTCACCATTCTGGGGCTACCCTACCCCCCACCCCCAGGCCTGGGGCCTACACCGGTGATCCCAGCAAACGGCCTACTGATTCCACAGCATGTTCTCTGCTCCCACGGGACTGACTGGGATGGGCATTCTCCTCTGCATGTCAGGCCCTGGCCAAGTGGCCTGGAGAGAAAACCTTAGGAACTAGCGCCTATTCTTGCAACACCTCGAAGGCTAGCTGGCATTCGTCTTTTACTTCTAAAGGGGCAGTTGGCTCAGGTGGGAGACACAATTGTCCCCTGGGAGGCTGGGCAAACTGCCTCGAGATGAATGTTTTCATTCTGAGGGCAGCCCTAGGGCATCGTGGTGGCAAAGGCAGTACAGAGCGAAGGCCATGAGGAAGCAGGAGCCCGAGGCCTCCAGGTGCCCCAGCGCCCTCCATCACTTAGACGCGAGTGCCCGCATCCCGCGAAGGTGGCCTGGCCCCCCCAGTCTGGACCTCTCCTATTGCTGTTGCTCAGAGAACCAGGTGACCAGATGCCTTTTTTAATGCCAACAGTGCTCATGTTCTCACCTACGAAACAGGCAAGAAAGCCTACCCGAAAGATTCAGGGGCTTATGGAGTCGGTGAGAGGCCAGAATGCAGTTTGTTAGGATCTACAGAAGTGGGTTTTTCAAGAACTAATAAAGGAAGCCACGTTCACTGTGCAAACAAAAGCAGGTTAGCAAAGCGAACCACCTGTGTTCATGTACTGTACCCCACCTGCTTCCACAGAAGACCCGAGGCTGCAGGAAGGCACTGCTACTGGAATCATGGGCATGAGTGGTCAGTTCTTGCCACAGCTGCAGACTCGGACCTTCAAAGTGACCATTCACTGGGGCTCGGAAAGTAGGGCAGGGGTGGTGGACAGTGGCTCCTGAGGCTGCAGCCCCCGGGGAGAGCCCATTCAGAAGGGGCCTTCCCCACCCCCTCCTCTCCTTCCTCCCAATTCAGGGCCACTGGACTTGCTGGTCAGCTGCAGCCAGCGGGGGGCCAGCCCTGCTCCCCCTCTCCCTCCCCCGCCTCTGCCTCGCCTATGCCAGAGCACAGCCGGGACCCTGGGCGGGGAGCTCTGGCAGAGGCACAGCGCCCGGGAGGACGACCCGGCCTGCACGT